TTACAGATAAATGAAATTGGCTTCATAGGAGCTGGTTGAAGTTTTCTACTGAAACATCCTTTTTGGGGAATGGAAAATTGTTTTTGACTAAACTAAAATTTCCTGAAAAGAGTCTGCTTTCCTCAGAAATGTTTGATTTTTTTTAACATCAGAAAATGAAAACCCTCTCTTTCTTGCTCTCTTTGATGTTCAGTAGTTCAACTTCCAGATTTTCTGTTTTTCATGTGTTCTAAGCAAAGGGATTTTACACAAGAAAGCAAACAAAGACAAAAAGGAAATGTTGAAAAGGTGGGGCATGAGAATGGGGGAAAGGCTAAAGCAAAGGAATACTTTTTTCCTCAGCTGGAACTTGGCATTACCCCAAATAACAAACAAGGAACTGGTTGAAAGTCTTTAATAAATTCCACCAGACAATTCTAAAAGTTTTGGGCTGTGTAGGCTAGGGTCCTTTCTCTCTCCCAAGATCACTTTTCTTCCCTCAGTAAATCACATGGAATATTTAGCAGAAGGCATGGTCTCTTTAGGAAACAGAGCAAAGGACATGAAATCTAACGTCATAGGTCCTATTTTTCTTCACTTGATTACTCATACAGAGTAAACTATTTAATTCCTCAGGGCTGCAGTCTCACCATTAGTTAAATGGAAATAGCAATACTTGGCTACCACATAGGGTGTTGTAGAGTTTATCCAGTGGTTATAAATGTTCTTTGATGGCCTCAAAATAAAAAAATGCAACAGAAATGTAAATTATTGTTCAAATCCCCAGCTATTTTATCACACAGCAGTGAAACTGGTTGTGTTTTATGCAAATGTGAAGGTATATTCTTTTTCTGGTGTCTACAGATATGAAGATGTGTAGTAGTGCCCAAGGCTATGCTGTCACTTTGTACATTTTAACATCCCTCTCAGCATTGAGTATATCCCATGACATTCTGTAAAGTAGAGACGCCTGCAGGCAACATTTGATAGGATTATACCAGGACTTTTTGTTTCTTTTTCTTTCTTTAAGTATGAGTTTAAAGAAAAAGGGGGAAAAAATCAGTGGTAAACAGCTGAAATAAATCAGAGAATTTTAAATTTATTTTAAAATGACAACTGGGAAGCTATGATGAGCAGAAGAGATGGACTGCTGTCACTTCAGTTCAAATCATGGCAATATCCCCCAGTGGACTATTTTTCATACCAGACACATTTTGATATCTAGTCAGAAGTGGATGAGTGACAGCCTTTAGGCAGAATCTTACAGGCTTTGCTCAAGCTGAGCTACCATTGGCTCTAGAGGGGCCCTGCCTAACGAAGGCCTCAGCTGCACAATATGGTCCTGAAGCAAGTCAGTGTAATCCAAAACATTCTTGTCATTTGACTGAGAACCACTTTCTTGGATGATGATCATTTATTATGGGTGAGGTGCTAGTACTTCCTGGCCACAACTAAGACTGGAGCTCCATTGTGCTGAGTACGGTCTCACACACCTTACAATCTTAATGGACAGAAAGGGTAGAAGAGGAAGCTGGTATAGTTATTTGCCTAAGGTCATACACAATGGCAGATCCAAGGATAAAATTCAGAAGCTTCTGACTTCCTTCTCAGTGCCCTCGCCATTACAATATTCTGTCTCCCACAGGCCAGAAAACTGTGAATATTTTTCCTCCCTGTGGTTAATACAGATGTGAAAGAAAGCAACCTGCTCATCTTTTTTAACCTGAATGTTTCAAGATTTTGTTTCCAGAGTGGGAAATTGCTAGTTCTCTTAATCACACATCATGTTCCCAGTAGTACTTGGCTTTCCTATTTTCAGGTGCTAAACTGACTACACTTCACATCTTTATCTCACATGACAACCTTGGTTCTTTTCAGTGATAATATTTACACTCCAAGTGTTGTACAAATAAGCATATCATGTTTTTATGTAATTACTAGGGCTGTGCAAAGCTTCTGGTGCTGATTCAATTTGGAGGAGATTCGGCCCAATTCGGTGGCCGAATCTCTGAATCCAAATAGAATCAGGGGACCAATTAAAAGGTCCAAATCAATTTGAAGCTCTCCAAATCCTCGGAAAAGATTCAGAGAGCTTTGGTGATTTGGACAGTCCCCGGTAGATGCAGCAGGAAGCTGCGGCCAGACTTGGAGCTGGTAAGTAGGGGCAGCCCTGAGTCCCTGCCCGCTTCCCCAGCCCCCCAACCCCCACCC